ATAATTAACTAACTTACCTAACTTCCTAAATCTAATCAAATTAGTTAAATGGGTCTTATATTAAGGATCGGAGGAGTAATTAAAGACATGGTCCAGTGGAGAACCTGCCTCTACTTTCGTCCCGAAGAAGAAAGTCTTCACCAACAATAAATCGCTCTGCCTCAGATTCAGTGGCCATGATCATTGGCCTCGCACTATCGTGCCACACTGCCATTCGTGGCCCCTTCTGGTTCCACATATGGTCAGCCTAACTTCCCCCACCCCCCAAAAAAAAAAAAATCCTCTTCTAGCCAGCATCATCATATGGTAATTACTGATTAACGCGCACACTTTCCCTTAACAACGTGTAAAGCAGAACTTATGCGTGTGTATGGGTTCATGATCCTTAATTAATTCAACCGGGTAAGAGGGCGATATATATATTGATGTACCTCGGTTTGATTTTTATAATAGCCCATTTAAGGAGTCCAACATTAATTATTAATAGTAATATCGTTGTTGCGGCTGAACCGTGATAACTGGGGGAAAATTCGTCGCCATATGAAGACATGACATCAAATTTATGATTGAGAAATTTAATTATGATGGTTTCTCTCGAACGTCCCATTTGTTCATGTCAACTTCAACCAAGAAAAATTAAACAAGAGAAGAGGATAATATCCTTTCACTTTCAGTCTGATACAATGTGCCACCCCTATGCCCATAGATATCTTTATATCTCCCCCAGAATATTGTAGATATGTCGTTGCTGTATTACACGCAGAGAACGTACTAAATTGATGCTTTGAAAACAATTCAAAGCATGAGTATGGGTGGACAAAATACTGTTTCGAAGAGAGGATGATATGATTATGATTTGACCTTGCTGGATATGTAAAATTGGTTCGTAAGTGATGTGTATATGCTTGGTCCACCAGTGCAGCCAGTAATAATCATAAGCAATTGAATGTATTTTCACATCCAAGTCATGGAAGATCCATTAGATTTTGTTCTCACTTTAGGAAAAAAAGGAAAGATTTATAGAGGCAAACCTACCTTGCCTTAACAAGCTTTCCAAGGGCCAATGCTGTCTTATCCATTGATCGATCGACACCACTGTGGCTCCGTTTCTAAACGTCCTTTTAATTTTTAGGGCCCCATTATGTTTGTTCTATTTCTCTCCCCTGTCAAACTTCGACTTTCGTCGTGGAATGGGGTCATTTCACTTCATCTCATTTAACCCTGAAGGCAAATCAGGACATTTTAAAGTGCTTGGTAGAGATAATGGCTGTTGGGAGATATTCGTCTTGACTAAGCTAACCAGTACCAGTACAGGTTATTAGTTTTGAGGTATCATCCAAGAAGTCTCGCTCGCAAATAATATCACGGGAGTTCAAATCATTGATTTGGAAAGGAGACAGCTTTCTCGGGAAAAAAAGTACATTTGCCATTTCAATTCGCCAGGGAAAAATGTTAACAGAATGTTCTTCCAAAAGCCTTGATGACATAAACAAATGTGAGTATACACACTGCATTATATAGCGTATGAGAAGAGAAATATCACTCATAACTTGCAGATAGTATAATATAAATAAATTATATATGTGTAGATAAATTAACATTTATATGCATCAACTATACCTGTCGAGAAAAGGCTTATTGGCAATAAATAAATGAATTAGATTCCACTATTACTATTCTTCGAAGCAACCAAGCAATGGAAAGCAGAGACAAGTAATGGAAGAGGAAGCAATCATTGCTGTGTGAATGTTTCTTCGAGTAATAATTAGAGAATAAATTTTTATGCTTTTTTGGTCTTACAGAATAAAACCTAAAAAGGTTGCCTGGACCCGTTTAGAGTTTCGACCATGAGTGGGTACCCAACCCTCGCGTTCAAAGGAGCTGTGGCATCATATCACTGGTCAAGTTAACGCTGAATCATGAATATGACATTTTGGCTAAAATGAGATTTTTTTTTCCTTTTCTTTTTCTCTGATTTCTTTTACCAGATCATTGGACCTTGAACCTTCAGCTCCGCAACATTGAGCAACTTAAGCTATTTCTTATTTTGTTTTTTTTTTTATTTTGAGTTTTTTTATGGGTCTACAGGACAATTGATCCTCAATTTGAAGGAAGTTTTTTTTTTTCTAATTACAAGTATTCTTTTGTTAGAAGTAATTATATTTTTTTTATTGGAATTAGAAGCAATTATATTTGAGATCCTGTTAAAACACTAAATATGAATATTTCTTTTAATAAAAATTTAAATATTGATTCATTATGTATTAGTTTTTTTTTTGTAGACCCAATTTCTGAAAAACTTAAGTGGGTGAATGACGATAGAGCCTTGGTGGTGGAAGAGTCTCATTCTCATAGTTGGGCCGTCAGCTTACATATGATACTTACATGAGCCCAATAGGCTTCAGGAAAGAAACAAAGGGCCTCCTCAGTCAGGGGATCATGTGCCTTTCCTCGTTGCGGGGACGTGGGTAACTCTTCTGCCCAAAATCCCAAACTACAAGTACAGCAACCAAACCATTTTAAAATTTGCCTTATTTAAAATCTAACTCTTCCTCAGAACATAATTTTGCTTTGCATGCCACGCGCATCATGCTTGGTGATTGCGAAAATAATGGCACCCCCAACAGAAGACAGAAGACGCTTGTGTGTACAAGTTGTGATGTTAGAAAATTCTAGCGGGCAAGACTTGAATTCAGACTCTTGTAGCCTCTCGTAGATACAATCCTTCCACTGCAGGAGACTGACCTCTTCATCGAAACTGGGGTTACGTGAAGACATTGTGCAACTGAAGAACGACGCCCTGATTTAAAGAGTGTTGAGTATTCACCACCTTTCTTCAGAAGATTGACCGTGTATCGTTCAGTGTCATGGTTTATATCATCAACGGGAGAATCCATCGACACAGAACTCGTTCCTTTTCGTATATCATCCACAATCTGTTCACTCTCGTCAACATTCGGGCACTCCTTTGAAATTGATTCATGAGCGAACTCCTCGGCTTCCCCTGCTTCTCCTGTTCCCTCCCGGTTTTCAGAGTCCACAATAATTAATTCACCACCATTCCGCTCAACTCGGGCGTCTTCATTTCTTACCACCGTGTTGGAGTTCTCCTCCACGGATGAACTCATATTTAAGATGGCTGCACCGGAAGTGGCATTGTTAGGGACAATACCGGCACGACAAAGAGGACAATTGATATGAGACCGCAGCCACGTATCGATACAGGGGATGTGAAAGGCGTGGTTGCATTTTGGCAAGAGTCTCAAGGTTTCGCCTTCCTGGAATTCATTCAAGCACACTGAACACTCTGTTCCTTCGATCAGTCCCTCGCCCTTTTTGTACTTACAAGCCGTGATGGAGTTTATGATAGACTGCTGCAAACCAATTGTGGTGATCAACCAGATGGGGTGATCAACTTGATTCTCACGAACAAACTCATCCTCAAGGCTGTCTGATTGGGTGGTAAAGGATCCATTGCGTCTCCGCCCACACCAGTCGGAGTAGCACTTTACTTTGAGAACGTAGAAACCAACAAGAACAAATACGACAGTGAATAGTGAAGCAACGATGGCCAAGTAGGACGTGATCTGATTACTTGGAGGTAAAATGGGCGGCGGAGGCGGCCGTGGCGGGGAGTAGTGGTCTGGAAAGGAGAAGCAGTTGTACGGGCAAGTTGGTTCACAAAAGTCAGAGCACTCTTGGGTTTGATTTTTTGTGGACGATGCAGGGAAGAGCTTTCTGTGCATCCTGGATCTGGAAGTCTCATGAAAAGCAATTACAGGCAGAATTTGCAAAAAAATGAAAAGGAAAAGTGGGAGTGATGTTTGTGAGAAGCGTGAGATGGGTGTTGTGAGAATTAAAAGAGAAGAAACGATGTTAATAGTTTAACCGTCTCTTTCAAAGGTTTTAGTGTTTGTTGTGATTGGTAAATGATAACAAGTCGGAAAGAAGCTTCGTGCCTCCCTGCTATTTCTGTTGGCTTGTTTAACGACAGATCAATTATGTGGTGTTTGGTTCCAACTGCGGCAGCTTCCGCGAAAATACAGCCATACAAAATGCTTTCATCATCTAGCGTCTCCCCTGTTTCAACTGCAGTTTCCTGTTCCTTTGCTGGTATGCACTGAGTTCCTTTGCATTCCCATGCCAGCTATGCATGAATTTAGGGGATTTATAACACTGAAAACACTTGTCATTTTTATTATTCATGTCTTAAATTTGTCGCGAGTACATTTTAAAGAGGAAGTGAGCACGTACTCCGAGGAGCATGGAGCAGCCTTCGCAAATGCGTTGGTGCTGAGTTCAAATCAGGATGATGATGTCCCATCCTCAAGTTCGGTGCCTCCACTGCAACTCTCCTACCCTTGCAGAGTGCCGCTGGAGATCGCCGGGTTTAGTCCCAAGAAATAAATTTAAGTACCCTTTTGATGAAGCATGTCAGAGTAGTTTATCCCACAGGTGCAATGGTGATCCCAAATCGGTTCAAAGTTTTGTGATCATCCATTTTCAACTGGATTCACATGCAGCGGACATTCTCTGTCCCCCCTGGTTCACAATTTGGATAGAACCAAACGATTTATGTGGAGATACTCTGTTTATGGCCTCATGGTCGAGACTAAGAGGAGACGAACAAATAAACCCAATATTTTTGGGCCTGTTCGAATAAACATCAAATACATAGGGCCCTTATAAAACTTGACCCAATATGAAGAAACCAAAATGAAAAATATCTATTTGCTCAACTAAAATTAAATCATTTTTATTACATTGTTTTATAAACTACGTGGAAGAATAATAATTTGTACAAAACGCGCTTGTTCTTTCTACACGTTTTTTTTTTGGTCAGGTTCTTTCTACGGTTTCAATCACGTAAAAAACCAAAAATCATTTGAGTAGAAACAAAATTGTAAAAGATACCCCAAAAAAAAAAAAAAGTGGAAATCACCATGGGAGAAACGGTGTCGTTGGCAGCAGGTCCCCAATCCACGATGGCGTAATCCCCTGTTGTCCTGCTCCCTTATCCCATACCCACAACCCGCTTCCCGTCGCTGCTGCTTCTTCGGCCCCTCGACCCAGTTGCTTCATGACGCTGCTGTCGCCTTGGAACTCAACGACTGGTAATAAAGAATAGAGTGAGACTCAACCTTTCGAGTGGCAATGGCGCTATTTCGTATCTGCGGCCTCCTGTCAACAGCTAACCTCTCCGTAGAACACCATCTTCGCCCGCTCTCTTCTTTCCATAATTCTCCCCATCCTTCCCCCGGCAATCTCTCGTTTTGTTGCTCGCCTTCCTCATTTCATTTTCCACCTCTCTCCCTTACTCACCCCTCACGCGATAAAACCAAAGAAATTTCTCATTTTCTACCAATATTGGCCACCGTATCCCAAGAACAAGCGCTTACTTCCTCTCCTTCAAATGTTTCCGATGACAGCCAACCAACTGAGACACAAGCTGAAGAATTTTCTCGAACCAGGTTGCTTGCTCAGAACCTACCTTGGACTAGCACTCCTGAAGACGTTCGTTCTTTGTTCGAGAGGCATGGAAGAGTCCTAGATGTTGAGGTTTTCAGTTCCCTCTTTCTGTTTTTCCTTTCCCGTTCCTTTTTATTTTTCGCTTGAGTTCCATTTTCTATTCGCATTCAGCTTTCGTTTTTTAAACTGACGAAGCTTATGTTTTGTTTTTACTCTTAAGCTATCGATGTATAACAAGACGAGAAACAGGGGTTTGGCGTTCGTTGAAATGGGCTCGGAAGAAGAGGCTCTTGCGGCTCTGAATAGTCTCGAATCGTATGTAAGCTGCAGCTGTTGTGTGTGTGTGTGTGTGTTTATTTTGTGGTCTTTTAATTTGTTGTAGTAAAGGTTTTGACTTCTGATTTCATCGATTCTATGGACTTGTCAACGGGAATGGTTTGGACTTAATAATTTTGTTTTGCTTTGTGTCAAAGGTAGGATTAGGCTGTGTTATTAACTGTTGAGGGCACTCTTATGAGGAAAATAGATCATCTCTATTCATGCAAGCTTTTGGAGAAAAACAGGTGATTTATAGTCATGGAGGCGATTGGAGCGTGATATATGCTATAATTTAATATAGCTCATAAGAAAGTGTATATGTTTATGGGGTCTGTATCGTATAAAAATACTATTCCAATTTTTTTCCCAGTATCTTTGTCCAAACACCCGACATGCAATGAATCAATTTTGGGAGGTAGAGGATCCGAACTCTCTGTGGGCGGTCTCTCTTTTAGGATATTACTTGTGATCGCTATAACCTTCTCATATGCTCATCTTTAATTGATTACTTCACTATTCTTAACATTCTTCACATCCGGGGGAGGTTTAAGTTGGATATTGGCTTTTTGATAGGAATACGAAGGGCGTATACTGAGACTGGCATATGCTAGGCCGAAAAAGAAGAAAGCTCCACCTCCTGTGCAGCAGAAGACAGTAACATTTAACATATTCGTTGGAAATTTGTCCTATGAAGCAAGGGCTAAAGATCTCAGGGAGTTTTTTGATTCAGGAAGTGGTAGTGTTGTTTCTGCCGAGGTTATATTTCATGACAACCCTAGAAAGTCCGCTGGTTATGGATTTGTATCATTCAAGTCTAAGAGAGAAGCTGAGGCCGCCCTTTCTGAGTTCCAAGGGAAGGTATCTACGGACTTCATTCTCCAGTGAATTGATTGAACATGCTGAATTCATAATTTTGGTTATTTTCATTATCATTTTTTTTTTGGCTTACTGCTAAATATAGTTTGGAGTGCCAATTTTAACCAAGGATGTGGGTAAAATGGCTGTTCTGCAGAATTTTATGGGAAGGCCAATCAGGGTGGCGCGTAGTAAGCAGTTTGTTAAACAACCAGTAGAGGAGAGTGCGAGGTCTGAAGATGAATCTTCTGAGACCAGCGTGAATGGGGTAGAAGCAGATAAAGCTGATTGACACCATCTTACACTATTGATGTTGTATGATCTTCTGCAGAGCTTTTATTTGTTTGCTCATGTTCATTGATATATAAAGTCGTTGTTGATAGAAATGATTCTTATTTTACAGGTGGTTTGCAATGTACCCTTATAAACAGAGACCCATTTGTTACAAGGATTGAATCGATATGTCTGGTGTTTAATTATAACTGTAATATGACGGCGTTCATTCTGCTTTGTATTATTTATTTGTGGTTGCGGGTTGAAGCTCTTTCCTGAATGCAAGCCTCAAAGGCTCAATGCAACTATGACATGCCGTTACTATTCATAGCTCCAAGAAAGAGTTTGCATTTCCGTAGTTCACTGTGAAAAAATGGAAACAAAAGAGGATTCTGAGGGCCATGTTAGACGAAGCAGCGTCGTGATTTGCCGATTGTTTGAGCTGCTAGGAACTTTGACCAATCACGAAAACCACTGCATTTAAATGTCCTGTAAATTCTGTGCGTCCTGCTTGGTTTGAAGTCGCTATATGCTATATTCTTAAATTTGTTGCGGACTTCCTTTATATTCGTGTTGGATGTTTTTGTGATCAGCAATTTCTTCCATAGTGTACAGGAACGAGGATTGGTAAAGACCTTTTTGATCGGGAGTAGATAGGCAAAACCGAAAACCTGTTTCGAGCCAAGTTTTGGCTGTTTTAATAAATTATTGATGCGCGAAAAATCGCCAGATGAACGCCAAATGGCCAATTTCCGATTTGCAAATCAACAGATGAACTGCTCAAAAACCCAAAGAACAAGAGAGTTTTCAACGTCGATTTGTTGGATGCTAAACCGGTCGTGTCCCTTTAATGTATGTTCACCAGTCTTCTTCCATCCGACGACAACGAGGGATAAGTTCGCTTGGATTTACGAACTGAATCAGCTATTGGCTTTGCAGGCATGGGGGGTTATTTGTAGAAATCATGCAAATTGATTGATTAAAGGAAAATTGCACTTAGATTCTATCAAAGGAATTAAATATAAAAAAGTCTCTTGAATTCATAAAATTATTTTGAAGTCCTAAGAGACTTTTTTGTGATAAATTTTATTTGTTTAATTACCAAATTATTCTTACTATTTTTTTAAGTTTGTATTGACAAGAACAGTGATTGACAACTTAAGATACAATAAGGTTTAAGTCTAAAAAAATATAATTAAAAAAATCAGATTTTATTTAAAAATTAAAAAAAATTTAGGACGTTCCGATCCTGTCTCAGATTCGTCCCGGTCGAGCAAGGACAGGGGACAGATTTTCTGTCAGTGTCCCGGTCCGATCCGTCCCGTGAACAATCCTACCTATTACGATAGTTGTTAATCTTTGTATTGTCAACTACTACTCTTTCAATTTTCAATATAAACTAAAAATAATAATTTAATAATTAAACAAATAAAATTTATTATAATAAAATTCTTTATGATTACAGAAAAATTTAATAATTTTAAAAGATATTTTTGTATTTAATTCTTTTAGGTAAAATCTTAATTATAATTTTCCCCAAACATATGCGTCCGTGTCGCGCTAAAGTCCCCTACAGCTGTTAACCATCATGTGATCGCTATAGTAGCGTAATGGAGACACCTGTTCAACCCTACCTCTCTCTCTTTCTCCAACTTTTTTTTTTTTAAACATCAAAAGTGAGCACTACTCCGACATGGGCCTTACCTTCAGTTGCCTTCGGCGCTTTCTACCGCCTGGGATTCGGCCTTTCACTATGTTATGGTTGAATCTGATTCTCAATTTGTGCCGTTGCTGCTCTGGCAAAGGACCATGATGCGTTTGTTTTATTTAATAATTAATACTGTCCCTGCTGAACTAATGGACAACAAAAGTATGGGATCTGAATCCCTCATATATTTTTAAAGACATATTATTTTTCTCACCACTATGTTATTAAATTAATCAAGCGCGTACGTTTAGATGTAATCCAAGAACGAAGTAGAATTTTAATCTGAAATATCAATAATAAATAATGCAAGTCACCCGCCATGAGCAACGAACAAACAGAATATGAAAATATGATACTGAAAAACAATCAAAATCAACCCCAATACCAGAGAAAAATAATACGGGATACTATGTATAGTACTATCTCGCCCATCTCTAAAATCCTACCTCTCTCACTAAAATACCAAATCAAGAAATGTACTGTGGATCATACTCTCCTTCACATACTAACAATATCAAACCCTACCCATGAAACCACGCTACGACCACCTCAGATCTGAAGAAGAAAACCGGCTGCCACAGCAACAGCGGCTGCAGATCCGAACAGTGCGCCTCTGTTCAGAACGGCGCCGCTCTTGGGAGCCGGAGATCCGGGAGCCTGTGATGGCGTCTCACTAATGCTCGGTGCAGAGGCGGTTGGCGAGACAGTGGGTGAGGCGGCGGGAGCCATCGGAGGAGCAGGAGGAGAGGTGGCTGGGGACGAAGCCGGTGGGGTGACGGTGGCCGCTGGGGCAGATGTGGGGGCCATGGACGGCGGAGACGACACCGGAGGAGAATGTGACTTAGGAGCGGACACTGGGGCCGGGGAGCGCTTAGGGGAAGCGGCAGGGGAGGCGCCGGGAGCATGAGTCTGAGCAAAAGCGGACGTGGCCATCAAGGCCAAGATCAAGAGGAAGACAGAGTTTGCCATTGTGGGAAACTCGAGTGAGTGCGAAGAAGAGCAGAGAGTGAAGACGCAGATGCAGGGTGACGGAGATGGGAATAAGAAAGGAAGCGAGGTATTTATATTGAGGGGTCTTAGGTTTTAGTCGGTTTCGAAGGGTGTGTTTGGATGAAACCAAACCGTGGTTTGGAAAAGTGATTCTGGAGAATAGATTCTGGAAAAAATAGATTCTGTGAAGAATAGATTTTGTAAAAAAGTGATTCTGAGAAGTGAGAGTGTTTGGATAGTTGTTATCAGAAGCACTTTTTATATATACAAATTACTAAAAAAAAGACATAAGTTAATATGATAATTACAGAAAAAATAGATTTTATGATATATTTTAATTTGAAGAAATAAAATTGTTAATAATATGTTTTTTACCAACATAATTAATAATACATAAGATAATATAATTAATAAATAATTAATGTCTATATATATTTATAAAATATAAGATTAAATATATTTATAAAAAATATGTTTATAAAAAAAATAACAAGATACATATCATATAGGCCCTCACACTCTCCCTTTTTTCTCCAAAAGCAAAAAAATTTGCTTTTTCCAAAACCATGGTTTTGGAGTCAAAACCATGGTTTTGACCCAAAACCATGGTTTTGGATTTTGGAGAGGTTGTTTGGGTAGCATTTTCCCCAAACCATGGTTTGGGTCCCCAAACCATGGTTTGGGGTGCTATCCAAACAGAGCCGAAGTCTTCGTGTCAATCAGCGGCGAGTATTTTCCTCGCAAGTCATTCACGGTCAAACAGTCAACCGCGATGAAAGTTGAGGGAGGGCTCGAAATAAAAAAAGGGGAGAAAATTCGTATAAGATAATATCCTTTGATTAACTACATTTATTTTACTTTCATGTATTTTGGGATTTTTCAACTAATACCTGACGACCACAAATCTCGGGATATTCCCGCTTAAATAAGTAATGGATGGGAACAACAACAATCGTGGGTCAAAGATTGATCATCTGGAATTCAAAAATAATTGTACAAAATCTTATCCCAGTTATTCATATTCATAATTAATGTGTTTTACCGGGAAAAAAGGGAAGAAAAAAAATCAGTCCCGGGGCAAGCTTTCCTGAATCGTAGAATGTCCATGTTTATCCCACACGGGCGGCAGTGAGGACTCAGAAGCACCTTAAATCGGATCATGACTGCTAGGGGGAAAAATCTGCATATTAAAGTGAGGTGGAAGCCCATTTTTGGGGTGGCATTTTTGGTTAAATCTCCTTAAATAGTAAATGAAGAAAGTGACAAAATAAACGCATGCGTGGGGGTCGTTGGGAGGACCGAAACCCATTTTTGATATTGAGATCACAAGTGGACCAGGGATTGACATTCTGCGGGGTTTATTTATTAACCTTTTCCGATACGAGGCGTGAATAGATATTGATACGCCACTATGACTACAAGAGGAAATTTTCAATTCATGCAATGTGATTCATTTGCTGTTATTGTTGACAGTTTTGCACAATCATCCTTTGCGTTGGTGTTGGCAGTGGTTTATTTGCCATATATATATATATATATATATAATCGTTGGTAGATGAAAATGAGCACCCCACGTTCCTTCCCTCGCCGTTATCTGTTACGCCGTGTCGGTGACAAGAGGTTCGAGAATATAATAGTAGACGATATGCCTAGGGTCTCATTCTGGGAATAAGAGGATTTTGCGGCCTGAAGAAGGGGGAAAAATTGAATTTTTTCAAGTCACTTTCCATGTCCCGCTTACTCCACTGTTGTCAGATAATTTTGCACAGTTTGATTTTAACAGGTGCTCCTTTATATATATATATATATATATATATCTATATATATACTCCTCCGCTCCTTAATATAAGACCAATTTAACTAATTTGATTAAATTAAGAAAGTTAGGTAAGTTAGTTAATTATAGGAGAAGTGTCACATTTTTCCTAAAATACCATAATCATCTTTCTTAATACCCTCTCTTCCTCTTCTACTTGATTATGGTTGAGGGAGTATCCATAAGGGTAATTTAGAGAAAATTGATAAATATGAGAAATGGGTCTTATATTTAGGACCAAAACCAACATAAGAATTGGGTTTTATATTAAGGACCGGAGGAGTATGTATCTATGTGTGTGTATATATTTTTGTTTGTTTGCAATTTTCCAATTCTGTTCAGGAAAAAAAATTAGTCTGCTCGTCTAAAATCTCGGAATTACAGAAACAATCTTTTCACAGTTTTAATGTTTATTTACAACTCATAAACCATGTAGCGCAATTTTTAGATTTTATTTACACGTGAAATATATTAAATTATATCCACACATTATAAATAATATAATTTGTTTTAAAAATCTTGTGCAAGTCTTATTATTATTATTTTTCAAGTCACCTGTGAGTTTTTATTTAGTACGCCAACATGAGTCCAGATTCTCTTCATCTCCCTCACTTCCAGCTCCCAAACATGAATTGGTCGTCATTTGGGAGTTAATACATTACCATGTCACTCCGGCCACATGGTGTGTTTGTTTGTTTGTTTGTTTTTTTCTTTGTAGCAAAGCACAGTTGGTTTTTTCCGGCTAAAATATACACTTGGTCTTTTAACGTTGTATAAGATTTTAATTTGATTTTTTAACTTTAAAAAACATATATTTGGTCATTTAACCCTAAAATTATTAGGTTTTAATAATAATTTTTTTTAAAATTAAACTTAATATGTTAATATTTGAAAATGTTTTATCAACATTTAAGATCTTAATGTCATCATTTTTTTAAAAAAAATTTAAAGTTAAAAGATTAAAAGTACACATTTTAAAGTTACGAGAACAAATTAAAATTTTGTACAAAATTAAACTATTAACACTTTAGTTTTTTTTTTTTTTACGGGGCAAAGCACAATTAGTTAGTTTGTGGCTTCGTGCATTTGCGCGCGTCCTTCTAAAGAGATTATAGAGGGTTTGATTTGAAGAAGGATTGGCTGGATTCCATAGTCATGCGGTTCCTTAATCTTTTTTGACAGTCAAAAGATGAAGCATATGAAAGAAATAAAGAAACTCACAAATATAAATGAGCATGCCACCAAAAAGGTAGGGAGCACCAAGAATCTGGAACTGAATAAAAGACAAAACCCAATGAAAGAGGATAATGGAGGTTGAAGCCCTCAGCCCATGCAATAGTGTACCCGACCCACCAGAAAGGGCTAAGGTAAGAATTAGTAAGTTTTACTTCGAGGGGAGGCGGGCTGCCGCGCTCGCCGTCACGCTAACGACTAACAAGAAAAAAGCGCGTCCGGCCACCTCTTTCACTTCAAAATTTCATTTCAGAGCCTTAACCTCTAAGCCACCCCAGCCTTTTGCTTCTCCTTTGCCACCCCACCCTCTCCTCAGTTCTCCGTCTCCATATCTTTTCCGGGCGTTTACCTGGCGTTTACTCTCATCACTACTCCCATATACAAGGTAAATTATCAGCTACTTCATATTTATCTCCTGCTTCCTGGTCGGGATAACTTTGGGACTGCCGTGCTTCGCGTCAAAGTAAACGACCATACCATCTCATGGCGCTTCGTTTTGAGGTTAGGCTTCATTTCGAATCTTGCAGACTCATATGCCTGCATTTATTTGCATCCATCGAGCAGTGCGGATACGCTGATGCGCCCAACTCATAATATCTGAACGCGTTTTATATTTCTTTAACAGTGTGGACGACGTCTGGTTCAGTTGTCTCCTGACGGCTGAAAAGCACTTCTGCATTGCATTCATCAGCTCATAAATATTTCTTGCGATGCTCTGAACTGTAGTTGCTTATTATTATTTGGATGAAATCATTTTTCTTAAATATCTCAAGAGCGTGTTCTTGTGTCTATCGTGCCGAACGCGCTAAACAATCTGCTGCTTTGTTTCCTATCTTAGATTCTTGGCAGGTTCAACCGGGCTCGTGCAGCTCGATTGACACTCCCCCACTATGTGTGCCAGACGCCTTTATTCATGCCAGTGGGCACACAAGGTCAGATTTTAAACTGATTTCCTTGTAATTATTATGGTAGGCAAGCAGCTACTGCAAATATAATCTTTCAAGTAAAACTCACCCTTTCAAAAGTTTTGCATACTGTAAGAGAATGAAATTCACTTTTCATTTGGCCTCCAACTTGTTCTTTTTTAATCAAATCTTCGGCGTCAAAAATAGTAATTTTTGAGTTTTGCACGTGATTGCAATTGAGTCATTTCATAGTACAAAATAGCTTAACCACGTTACTTTAAATGTAAGACGTCTTATTATACTCTAATATGCTTCAAATTTTGCAATAAATTATCTTATTATACTATTATCAACTGCTCATCAGTTCGTCATGGTGTACCTAAATTGGTGTATTTTTGCTGTATTTGTATGGTTTATTGCTGGTCAGGAACGATAAAAGGACTGACAACAAACCAGCTCGAGGAGATTGGTTGTCAAATAATACTTGGAAATACTTACCACTTGGCGCTTCGACCAACTTCTGAGCTTCTTGATGAAGCTGGCGGTCTTCATAAATTTATGAACTGGCCAAGGGCCCTACTTACAGACTCTGGTGGCTTTCAAATGGTTGCTATGCATATTTACTATGCCCCTGTTCAGCGCTATATTCATTAGTATTGCGTATTTGTAGGATAGAATTTTTATACGATTCTAGTTCGTCGTACCACATAACTTGTACTAATTGTTATAGTTAACGGACCAAATGTAAGATGCACAATAAGGTGGAAAGGAGGGTTTAAAATAAAGATCTGTTGCTATTGGAGTGTATATATTTCCAAGTGAAGCAAGTATAAGATGGAATTAAATTTGCATTTTTCAGTGATTTGTTCTGTCTATCTTATTTATGTTTTATTTCACGTGAGTGAGGTTTTTGTCTGCAATATTTTATTAAAATGTGTCTTATATTGTTAAAATATGTAGTAGGATTTAGCCGAAGATGGAGTACTATTGAAAGTAACTACAACTATGAGCAATAAAAGTAAAGACGATGATCAAAATGATATTATAGCTAGACTTGTCGTGTGACGTTAATGTGTTATCTTGTTATTTATTCTGGATACATCCTTTTAACTATGATTTAAAAAAAAAAAAAAAAACCTTATATACCAGGTCTTGCCATCTCACAAATCTATTCTGATGATGTTACAGGTGTCACTATTGCATCTTGCTGATATCACTGAAAAAGGTGTGACATTTCAGGTATATTTGAGTTTCATGATATAGACCAGGATTTAAATGTGTGTTTTGTTTGATTCAAGCAAAATGCGTTCTGCTCCTCTTTTGACATTAGTATGCAGTTGAATGAATGAGGTTATGTTTTTGTTTTTCTCCAAAATGTGTCGACTTTTCTCATTGGTTGCCCTAATGGACAGCTTCTGCAGAGATTAATTAAAACCCTATCTTTTTCCTCATTTTGACATTTTTCTTTATCTGAGGCATGGTATGATAAAATAAAATCATTTAACTTTTCCTCCTTGCATAGGTGGTGTTCATGGCTTTCTTTGAAAGGAGAATTTGTATTTAGAAGAGAAAAGGGAAAGAGAGAGGATAAGGAATTAACAATAAACAAATTTATAAATTCATCAACAAAATGAACGCTCACACCCGCATCTCAGACAACTACCCTTTCTCAGGGTAACCATTGGTTAAACCCCTAAAATGCTGTAAGAAAACTACTTGATCCTTAAAAGATGTGAAGGAAGAGCTATTCTTCTAAAGTTGCATCATCATTTTGCTGAATGCACAATATAAATCCAAGTACATTGCACTTCAATGCCAACCGGTCTTGAATCTAAGATTGAAATTTCTTGGAATAATGCTGCTTAGGCATCTTCCAGTTTATCTGAAGATCTCTCATCCTCTCTATTCCAAAATCCTTTTGATCTATGATAATGAACTATACTGCCATTCTGTTTGTTATTTGTAACTAAAGACTCTGTTGTTTTCAGTCACCAGTTGATGGAAAACCAATGCTCCTCACCCCTGAAGAGTCTATTCAGATCCAAGTAGGTATATTATATTAATATTTTTTTCCTGTTATGTTTCTCCTGGCTGTTTCCTTTTGCATCATCCTTAGGAATACAATCTATTTGATATGCGCGGGGCTCTACATACAATGATTGGCTTTAAGTAGAATTGACTTATGTTATGGTTATTTTCAATCCATGGTTTACTAACTGAGAAGGATGCTCCTTCTTTTAAACTTCCATCACTCCATGAATATTTGAAAACTCACACCTCCAGAATTTAAGCCCCTGTGATCAAGAGGCCTTTCAAATACTAGCATCCGGTGGCTATGCTTCACTGCTTACGGTTAAAAATAGTTAGAAAGAATGGAGTAGAACTTTGCCGTGATTGAATTTGTCACCTAACTTTTCCAGCAGATAAAAATTGAAGATCTAATCTGCTCCAAATTCATGTGCTTGCATTTTTTATTAATAAATCCTGCAGAACAGAATTGGAGCAGATATTATTATGGCTCTTGATGATGTTGTTAGGACCACTATTACTGGTCCACGAATAGAGGAAGCCATGTATCGCACACTCCGATGGATAGACAGATGCATAGCAGGTAATTTGTTAGTGAAAAAACCAGCACTCATCTCCTAGGACACTTTATGCATGTATGTATGTGGTTCAGATCTCCTATGGTTGTAATCCTTCAACCACGTAATGACTAAATAACTGGGTATTGGAGAAATTTGGTGCATCAGCTGTGCTGCTCTTCCCTTGATTTCCCAATTTCCCATAAATGAATTTTCTGTTAGTCCAGCGTAATCCTGCTTTTCCATTCTGAATATTTATGTGCATTGCCTTATAAGAACAGCACACAAGAGACCACATGAGCAGAACTTGTTTGGTATCGTACAAGGTGGTTTAGATCCTGTGTTGAGGTAAATATGAGTGCAAACTTCAACTTTTTGGTTTTTTTTCTTTTTTAATCCATAGCCCTTTTCATTGTTTTACCGCTATGGTTGTTGAAATTTCCTTTAAACCATGAGATAATGCAATCAGGGATATATGTGTCGGAGGCTTGGTGGATCGCAATTTACCAGGGTATGTGTCAATTTATTTGTAATGTATGAATGGCTATATTTTTGTCTCAACCTTGGAGTTATTTCCAATGTCATATAGTTCTATGGCTTGATGACTAATTTTAAATCACTTATGGTATGCCCTGTTTAAAATATAGACTGCATTCTATTCATCAAAGAAAGAATATCTAGACGGATTTTTTTATGTGATTATATTGCATTCTTTCATGCATCCCAGAGTCAGTAACATTCAAACACCAAATAGAATTGTCAGATATATAGCTTGTCTTTCTAACCACCTGTTATGAATAGACACAACGCGTGCACAGTATGGCCTCGGAATGGGTAGCTTTTTCATTAGTTGAGGAGCTAAATGGATTATTACTTGTTTCCTGTCACAGCTATGCTATTGGTGGTCTTGCTGGTGGTGAAGATAAAGATTCATTTTGGCGTGTTGTTGCTCAGTGCACTGCTGCTTTGCCAGAAGATAAACCACGATATGTTATGGTCAGAAACACAGACTGACTTTATTCTTGGCGACCATTTTTTAATGTATTTGTATTTACTATTGTGATATTTCGTTGGGCTTGTTTCAGGGAGTTGGTTATCCACTTGATATAGTTGTTTGCAGTGCTTTGGGTGCCGACATGTATGACTGCGTCTATCCTACCCGTACTGCACGCTTTGGCACCGCTCTTGTTCCTGAGGTGCTTAAGTTTTGTCCTGTTAACAGACAGTTTGTAACGTTCTAAAACATCTGGAAATATATAAGTAGATAGGCCTTACTCAGTGTAGAATGTGAGACAGCCAATTTCAACCCATTCTAATAGTTGTATGTGTGCTAGGTCTGGCACATTGCATTGAAAAAACCTATTATTTCACGAATGATGTTGCCTTTATCTGCTCTCCTTTTGTTGAAATTTGCACACATCTCATCAGTAACATTCTAAAAGAATTTCACAATGACGCCTTTTAATATCTGTTCATTCACTATGGATTTGGGAACAACAACAGCAACAAATCTTATTGCACTGGATGGGATTGGTTACATGGATCACATAATGTCATTGTGCTCTATCAACAACCAACTCCTTATATGCTCCTCACTATGAATTTTAGAATTTATGTAATTTTAATACTTTTGTAGGGTGTACTGAAACTTAAACATAGAGCAATGGCTGATGACACTCGTCCCATCGATCCTTCCTGCTCTTGTATGGTATGCTTGTAAGAGCACATTCATGTTTGATGAAAACTTCATAAAACATGCCTTTCAATTTATTTCGTCTCCCATAGGTGTGCAAGAACTACACCAGGGCTTACATCCATTGTCTTGTGACAAAAGATGCTATGGGATCTCAGCTTCTGTCATATCATAATTTGTATTACATTATGCAGGTACGAAACGCTGTTATGAACTGTTGTTATGTATTTATGATTCATGATATTTGTATTCATATCGGTGATTACAGTAAAGGTCCTCTTGAAACATGCAGCTCAGCAGGGACCTACACTCATCAATAATCGAGGGAAGGTTGCCAAAGTATGTCTTAATGATTTCTTCCAATCTTCCTATCTAAATATTCTGATCCAAATTAATGTTTCCTGACCAATAAATTTATCCCTCCTCTATATGGCAATGACATTTTTATTTTTTTTGTTTTTGTAGGTTTGTATGTGACTTTCTACATAATATGGTATTTACTGCTAAACTTTCCCCAATCATAACTGCGCTCTACCTAATACGTGCATATTCTTTTGTTATCATATGCGCAGCAAATAGGCCATACGCCCATGCCTCTATGAAAATGTTAGTGTTTCACACAGCTCCCCCCCCCCCCCCCCAAAAAAAAAAAAGAAAGGGAAAAAGAAATGCTTTCTTGGATCTCTTAGGCATCAGGATGCTCAGTTAAATGAGACTATTTTAGCCTCCCCCACCTTCCGTAGTCTCCTGCCACCGCTTAACCCACGAGTCAATGACCTTGCAGTCGTTATTGAGAGCGGATGGTATGTTTTGGGTAGATTTTACAGAGGCCTTGCAAGGATTGAGACATTGAGCCATTTTAAGCTTAATACTCGTTTTTGCCCCAGACTTGGCCTTGGGTGCCTATTTCTGGAGAGTTACATTCTGATCTCTGATAGGCATTTCTTGCGAGTTTTGAACTAAACGTAGATATGAACTTTCTACTTATATGGATAAGACTCATCTTTTTATAGTTGATATTTGCTAATTAAAACTACTCATATCCTCATGCTGCAGTTCCCGGAAGGTGATGTTCCGGAATGGGTCTGCAATGCTATGGAGGTGGCTGGAATTAACATTTCTTCCTGCTGCGCTCCGTTCTCATCATACCAAGAACACAATTCCGAAAATTGTTTTAGGGAGGAAGAGATGGAAATGAACTCGGGCAGGCTTTGAGGTGGAAAAGGTCCGGGCGGACGGTATACAAATTTTTCCTTTTCGAGAGAAAAAATATAATTCTCGATAATTATACTTAGAGTTCTACTTCTGGAGAGATTGAGCATTTTTACTATTTGAGATATTTCCATATGTTAAAATTTATAATTTGTCATAAATTTTATAATTAATTATTTTTAAAACTTGGGAATGTCAAATTTTACCGTATGATGAAAATGCTCAATCTTTTGAGAGGCAGAGTTTTCTATAGTGACCTTGTAATTACTGGCAGCATAAATTTTGTAACCTTTCTTATGCTGCCTCGGGATTATGCGTACAATCAATACTTTGCCCCTTTTTTGGTTTTACTCATGTTTTACGCATTACAATGGGCGAAAACAATCATTCTCTTGTGCTGCAGCCAAAGACTCTGGTGTTGTCATGTCAGGTTAATGGAATTATAGCATATGCGTAATTTCGGGGACCCACTGTTTCTTATATGTTTATTTGTTATAACCAGTTTTGGTTTATCACGTTTAAAGCTATGTGTATTTGAAATCTGCAACTCCAATCTATCCATGTGTCACTGTTTTTGTCTGGTCACTGCTTAGGTCAATCTATGTGCCGCTGCTCGTAAAATCGAGACCCTCGACCAAGAGAGAAACAAGAGCATTCGTTACCGTCACCCCTTTCATGCTGCCATAAACCAACCTCAATCCTCTATTAACACAAACGTCTATTGAATTCTATTGAATTGGAGTTTGGAGGAGATGGAGTAAAACTTGGAAGAGAAGGGTCAATTGAATTGATTTTTCTCTCTCGTTTTTTTCCCCTTTTGGTGTTTTTTTTTTTTTTTTTTTTGCGGTACCAGAGAAAATGAAACAAGAATGAGACGAATCCTAATATTCAAAAGCTTGTTCTTTTACAAATGTTTGGTGAAGCAAATAGAGTCAAACTTCTTTATGTAACTATTGCAACTCTGATTGAAAAATATATTTCACATTCTTCGTGATTGCATCTATGCAGAGCGTTTCTGAATGAAAATCTTAAATCGTATGTATATTTCCTAATTCTTTAATGCTTCTTTACGTGATTGGATGGCTTTAAACTTGAAAAGCGAATCAGGAAATAATTTGTCTGTTTGTTGGAACCAAATTTGGGGCATGTCTATATGGAGGCTTCAGATTTGGAGGAATTATTCTATTTTTAATGATGACTTCCAAAGGCAAACAAATCCTGTTGATATGATTTTGAAATCTTGAAAATCCTTTGTAATAGCTAATGATTTAGCTTCAGTTGGTAGCTTATCTGTTACTAATGAGTCAGCAACTTGGGAACCATCTCCGGTTGATTGGATTAAAATCAATGTTGATGGTACTGTGTCTTCTATTAAACAAGTAGCTGGATGTGGGGGTTTCTTTATAAATCACAATGGTAAATGGATGACAGGTTTTACATATGGATCAGGAATATGTAATGCTTTGAAAGCCGAGGAATGGGCAATACCTAAAGGTTTCTCTACGGCTCGGGAGAGGGGATTCAAGAAAATAATTCTTGAATCTGACTCCAAAACCTTAGTTGACATGTTATTAAGCAACTCTATACCTGGTTCTTGTAGCTTGGTGTTTATGCAAATTAGGAATATGAAAGCTCTTGATTGGGACTTACAGTTGAGATGCATTTCCAGAGATAAAAGCTCACTTACTGATGCATTATCAAAGGAAAGCCTCTCTTGTTTAACTACCTTAGATCGATGTGCACGACATCTAGTCACTTGCTGCTCATCAACGTTACTATTAATTTGGGCTTTTGCGGTCATTGTTAGCAAAAAAAAGAAAGGCTTATTCTTATCTTAGTCTAGTATTTTTTTTAAGCTGTCAGTAAAAATAAGCAGCTTCAATTTCGATATGGGGGACTTTATGGGAATTTGCTTTTTCCTCAATAAAAAACATGTGGAGTTTAAGACCGCAAATTAATAGTAACGTTGATGAGCAGCAAATGGGTTATTGACTTGTTTTCCTCGTGTGGAATATATTGATTATGTATATTATGGCATGATATGTTTTAAATAAAAAGAAGATTAAAACGCAGGGGCCTTTAAGGGGAATAAATCTACTGAGAAAGTCATTTTTTGATAAAAGGAGGTAGGATCCAATTTGACAGAGGAGATGTGATGGCATTAGATCATGAGGAAGCATGGGCGAAACCAAATGAGGAGACAAGCGCGTGTTATTTTGAAGGTCACCGTCACAGTCCTCGGGGCTTCCTTGTCTTTGTTGCTTCCTCGCTTTGTCTTCACCAACTCCAGTCTCCAATCACTTGTTTCTTTCATTCAATGCCATATGCGTTGACAAGTTTGCCAACAAAAATGCGACATATATTATATCTACTTATCTAGTATAAATTGTATCGCCCAAAATTCATGTTTTCCATCTCCTCTTTTTATCTTATTTATAAGACATTTCTAATATGTTTCACACAGATTAAAAAAACTTAAATTTTATTAATTCTCATTTAAAATTTAATAACTTTTTAATTTTATTTATATTTAATCTATATTATTAAACAAAGTCAACACAATAATAAATAAAAGATAAAATTGCACATCAATGTAAAAAATTTCTCTTAATATCTATAAATAAAATAAAAAAACTTCTTCTCTCTGCTCTATAAACAGAACTAGAGGAGTAATTTATTTATATTAACCATTTTAATTCATACTCCACATTAAAAGAATTTTAGCTCGACACATTTAGGTTGCTTAATCCGTGTCATACATACGTGCTCCTTGTTTTTCAAATAAAGGCGAAGACCATAATAGTTTTTTCTCCAAGATTTTTTATGGCGCACTTAATTAGTACCTGGTCGTGTTCTATTGGAGTTGGACCAAATCTTGATGCCCGGGTTCGAGGGTATTTCCGTAAACAGAATGAGTTTGACGGGGTATGAACAGTGACTTGACCTGCTCTCTGCCTGAACAACATATGGCAGAATCTTATTGGTGACCAGGAAAAAGTACACCTGGCACCCCAAGGCCCAAGTATACAATTTGGCCACCCACTATTGGTTGTCACTTGGCCCGAGAGAAACCCGCCAATAGTTTCCTTTGTGAATAAAAACAATTTTTAAAAATTTCACGAAACGACAGCGTTTGCCGGTTTGGTTGCTTGAATAAATTTTCGGTCCACGCCTACCCTTTCGGTTGCCAAAAAACAAAAATTGAGGTTTTCCACGCCGCCCCTCCCCAAGTCCCCACCAAGATGGGTTCGGGTTCGGCCTTTTCCACGTATATGGTTTCGACCTGCGATCCTCAAATCCCAACCACCGACTCCCCCCGGTGGGCCCCTCCCCACTCAATCACAGGCGTCCATCTACAAATTCCAAAATTCATTTTTGATTTTTCAACTCTTTCCACATGAACCGTCAAAAGAGATCATTTTGGAGAAGTTCCGCAGGAAGCTCCCATGAACTATCACGGAAGCATCGCTCCCTTTCCTCCTCCTCTTCCTCTTTTTCTCTGTATATGAATCAACCTGCTCTCACGCCGGACGATGATGAAGACCTTCAAATATGTTAAACCTGACGAGATTCTCCAAGCGCAAGAACAATGTCGTCGGGCGGTTCAAGCATGACGCTAGCTGCAAGAGGCACCCCAAACACCACCAATCTCCCGGCGTTTGTTCTCTCTGTCTGAGAGAGAGGCTTGCCCAGTTATCTTCTTCCTCGACCTCACGTGCCGCTCCTCCTTCTTCTGCTGCAACTTCATCTTCTGTTTCGTCTTTATCTTCCTATTATTCCTCTTCTTGCTCTTCTTCTTGCGCTTCCCCTTCTGAGGCCAAGACTACCTCATCCATCTCCATTTTCTTGTTTAATGCCAAGCATGGACTCATCAAGAGCAGGTCAATGGCTGCGGCTTCTAGAAGAAGAGATGCGATTGGTGGTGATGATACGGCTGGTAAAAGTCGAGGGTTTTTGTTCAACTTGCTTCGTCCCAGACATAAGAAACCGGAGCACAGAGATACTCATGATCAGCTCGTTCGTTGCACGTCTGTGAGACAAAATGTGACAGTGGCAAGCTAATATGTAGTGAAGATCTTTTCAAATTAGGTCGTTGGCTATCATATTGATTAGCGATTCTTTCCAATTCTTTTTCTACACAAAGCTAGGGAGAAAAAGTGAGATCTTGTATCGCATTACACATGCATTGATCTGTATATAAATTCATGCATCACTCTCTTCGTATCGCGAAAGAGAGAACGATGGCTAGAAAATTTAAAATTAAATTAATGGAATCAGCGAGGTCCTCTATCGTTTCTATTATACGTTGTATATATTGCAGAAAACATTCATCACATGTAGAATTGAATAATTTTATCATCTTTTTTGCTGCTGCTGTTTTGCTCTGTCGATCATAGTTGTGAATGGGCTAACAAATTACTCCATTGTTAATTTTATATATATATATATATATATATATATATGATGAATGAATAAGAGACGCATACGCATTATTAATGGCTTGACTACTTCGATATCTGTTTGTTATTAATTTCTAATCTGCATCATCGACGAATAAATTTTCTCGAGGTTGCAAATTCCAGCGGTTTGTCCACCGTGTATTGGTGTTTGCGACTTTGAATTTTCATATAGTATTAATTTTTATTTAGTCGTCGGTCTTCTTTTTTGGCCAAGATCAAGTCTTTAGTCTTTACACATGCACGAGTTAGTCGTAAATGAAATTGGAAAAGCCAAACCCTACAAGGCAGCTCCTAGAATACCCGTGGGGCCGGCCGTGCACAAACACAAAGACTTGCAATTTCCCCGCTACAAAAAAATTAACTTTGAGCGGTGATAAAAAAAAAAAACACTTTTAGCAGCGACTTTTAGAAGTTTTAATGGTGACAAATATCGTCGCTGAAAGTGATGTCCTAAGAAAAATTAGTTTTACTGACGCCACGTCCATACCACGTTACCGCTCAAATATTTTTATCTTAAATGTATCTTCTTTAGAATTCGAACTTGTGACCACGACCAATCGTCTTACCGCTAATAAATATTGAATTTATTTATTATTATAAAATAAAATATATATTATTAATTATACTTTTAACGATGACTTTTATTGTCGTCGTAGGAAGTAGACTTTCAATAGCAATTTTTTTTGTCGCCAACAAAAGTTGTTGCCATTCTATTTTTTTTGTAGTTGGCACCACAAATTAAAGCTGAAAATAAATGCCCTCTCCCATAGGAAGAATTATGCAGAATTTAAAATTGGAAATGCCGGAAATTAAAGAAACAACACCGGGATCCAATCTTCACGCCTTCGCGGTGGTTTCAAAGGGTACATGATTTCGTGCAAGAAAAATCTTTGCCCTCGGAAAAAAATAAAAAATACTGATATATTAATCGACATTTAATAACAAGAGGTGGCTTTGACATGTACGTGGTAGTGCAACTGCTGATAACATCTGTAAGATGTATTGGCTTACAAGAATGGATTGCTAATAACAAGCTAGTTGATTAAGAGGAATCAAGACCTAGGAAGAAGCTATCGACTCTTAAAGAAGTTCCTTCCTTGATGCGATCAACATTTAGTGCCTATTTAGACAGCAAATCGAAATGATGTGACCACAACTTCATTAGTGGAGTATAAATTTGCATCAAAGACTAGTCACCGGTAGTAAAAAATTTATTTTTATATAAAAGTCAGAGTAATTAATGATAATTACAATTAAAAAAATATGTGAGAGAAAATCAACATGATACTTTTTTTTCCCTCACAATACTCTTTCTTTAATGTAGGCAAATGTGAAAAATTTTATTAACTTACTGCATTTCTTCATGCGAAATGGGGTGTGAAAAATGACTTACATATAGAAACAAATGGAGGCTCAAAGCCATGGGAAACTACATATATAATATACAGGATTCTGACTATGTAGCTCTATATTGAGGGGAAGTATATTTTTTTAACACCTCAACACTTTGATTTGCACAACGAAAGCACGCGTATAACACAAACTATGAGCACGCGCGAGCATATATGTAGAATCACTTAATCTTTCTACCAAGAATAAGAAGACAAACCCAGGCTGGGATGCTACAAATTCATGCGAGTGCTGGAGAAAATACCGAGAGGGATTATTTTAGTTGAGTAGTTGCGTTCATATTCAATTGAATGCACGGTAGATCATCTTCTTTTTGTTTCGTTGCACTTTTCAGCTGATTTTTGTCATATTTGGTCGGCAAGCGACAGCAATCTGCACATCACATCATCTGGTTTTCAGAGGGATTTTTTAATATGGTATTTGTTGGCTGTTGTTTAATAAATACACACCAAACACACTTAGATGTGCGTTTGTGTGTTTTTTTTTTCCTCCCCCCTACCAGTTATGCCATAATGCTTGGTCGACATCTTCAATAGAGTCTAAAACTAGAGAGGCTTGATGGGTGTAATCTCTTCGCCAGAAGGTCATGGGCTTTTAGTCATATTCGTATATCTTTAAAAACCAAAAAAAAAAAATTGCTGTGAACCTGCTTGCGACTCTTCCTTGCAGTAAATAATCTGTGCGTTGAGATCTCACTCTTGTAAGCATATGTGCGTATTCGCAATAAAAGATGGCCTGGTTTTCCTCCTGGTTTGCCAAGATAGCCATGGTCATTGGGAATTGAACACACAAAACACATCCACATATAAGAGCACAGCCTGTGACCTCCCTCCCAAGAGGATTAGTGCCACCAGACCCAAGGGTCTTTGCCGCTCATGGCTAACTAAATTAGTCTTTGAGAGATTCCCAACTCCCATTATGACGTAGCATTCGCTTTGTTCGATAAATAATGGTCTGTTTGTGATAAAATATGTACAAGCACGTAATATTATTTTGATGAGAGCTGTACCTATGTAGGACCAAACTGAGGAAGAGCACACACATCCATGGACAAGAGTCTATGCAGAATGAATGAGGGTGGTGGGCAAGTAATATACAAGTACATATAATATTATTTTGATAAGATATGGACTACGGGCATAGTTAAATAATAAATGTGAAGGCGTGGGATGTTCCAGCTCATAATTAATAAATAGAGAAAGCACGGTCATGATGATCCCTCTCGCTTATTAGGTGGCCGCGGGGGTTTAGCTCAGAGTTGGCAGAATTAAAAAAACACTGCTTGTACAGCACACCCGTGACACCATCAGACTTGTACGGCAATGGAATTTGATCCGCACCGGCACCGCACCGCCTCTCCCAATATTAAAGAGTCAAGCTTTGTGATCGTCTAAATTCTCGCCCCATATGTGCCGATGCTTTTTGTTTTCCCGTCCTGTAGATTCTATAATGAATAAAATGAACATGCAACTCCCGTATAAATCATTGCGTATCATTATTTGCAGTAATAGTGTGGGAGCGGATTCTCTTCAGACGTAGGAGGATTCATCAGATAAAAGGAAAAAGAAATAAAATTGGCTTAGTCGGCCTCGCATGTTAGAGAAGGCCTACAAACATCTCTCTTCTCCAAATCCACTTGACGAGAT